ATGGTCCATATTTTTATTTTTACATTTTCAAATGATTGGCGGGGGGAGTCAAAATATTTTGTGAAAACTATATGAAATTCAAATTCCAGGATGCATTTATAAAGCGTCACTGGAACACAGCCATATTCATCTGTTTCCATATGGGTTATGTCTGCTTTTGGACTAAAATGTTCAGCAGTTACAAGAGACCATATGGCACACAAAGTGTAGGGTGTTTCCTACACAGTCTGCAGATGCCTGCACTAGACTCAAGTGGACCCCTGGGGGTCCCTATCAGATCTGATACTTATACTGGGAGAAGTACGATACAACTTGCACAGTCTTTGAAAGGATCTGATAAGGTAGAGACTAAAGAACTCAAATACACGATGGCTGCCTCCAATAGGATGTAAAAGCCTGGAAAATCTGGGAGGGCTGCCGAACTGAAGCATCAGCTGGCAAATGAGGAGCAACACCAGGGTAGCTAAGGAAGGTTCTTGCTAATTGAGAACATGGGACCCTGGTGAGTGACCCAGTCCCCAAAGCCTAGTGAGACATGCTGGTGATAATACATAAAAACAGAAGGCAGACTGATCAGTGTATGCAGTACAGTGACAGCTCCCCCAATAATTTTCCTGTCCTTTAATTAGGTGTCTGCAAGTCATTTACCATCTGGATTCATTATCATCATATTCAAGCCTCTCTAGTGGCAAGTGTGGACGGTGAAGAAGAAGTGGATCTGAAAGGAAGACTCTAGAAAACAGGCCTTATGGGGGCTGGAGAGATGGCTCAGTGGTTAAGAACACTGACTATTCTTGCAGAAGACCTGGGGTTGAATCCCAGCACCCACAGGGCAACTAACAACTGTCCGTAACTCCAGTTCCAGAGGATCCAACAGCCTCTTCTGTCCTCTGTGAGCATTGCACAACATGGGTGCCCTTACCTACATGCAGGCAATACACACATACACATAAAAATAATAAATAAAATATTTTTAAAAAGAAGAAGAAAACAGGCTCAGGTACACAACTATTCTCAAGCAAGGGCATTTCCCCCCCTCTTCTTCTCCCTCCTTTTCAAAGACAGGGTCTTGCTATGTTGCCCTGGTCTACCTTGAACCCATAATCCTCCTGCCTTAGCCTCCCTAGTGCTGGAATTACAGGTGTGCACCACTATGCTCATCAACAACTCACAGTCAGAGGCAAAATTCAGGGGACTACAGAATCAGCGTCATGTTTTTGTAAGTCAAAGATCTGGTGAACATTTTACTTTTTGATCATTACTTGGGGGGGGGGGGCTTATGGAGCAAGGTAGGGGGAAGAGAAATAAAGTCCTAGACAGAATCAGCAATGAGAAGATCTTTCCTGGAAGGTATGTCCTCCTGGACTTTCAGCTATGGCTGAATACTTTAAACCAGAATAGGAGTGAGGGAGAGGATGGGGAGGAAGGCGAGTCTGAAAGCCAAAGAGATGCACAGACTGCTGAACACAAGCATTAGTCAAGGTTTGCAGATGGCCAGCTCACCTGACACCCACAGAAAGCCAGGCTTGAACTCTTCCAGCAAGGCAGGGAAAAAACAGTTGCTGGAAGAATGAGATTTGGATGTTATAGTTCTTGAAAACGTTTCATGGCTCAAGGGACCAGAGGTAACCAGTCCCTGAGAATTATTAACACTGGTTAAGCTGGGATTGTTAATGGTAGGAGGGCCTCCCTCCAAGCCCCTACCCAGGCACCTATGTTGGTTATGGCAAACAAAAACAAGATCACGTCACCCCTCCCCTACATCACCCTATCCTACTTCTTGAGTCTAGGAAGGGAATCTTGAGCCAAGGTGGAAGCAGAAATTTTCTGCTCCAATTGGACCAAAGCTTAAGTCAGGAGCAGGGTGGATACAAAAATCAGAAAGAAGAATTGTGTGAATGGAAAGACACACTAAAAGTTCAAGAACTGGTGCACCAAAGTGGTCAAAAGCAGCCACAATTTGGAGGAATGAGGGAATCAGAGAATCAATAGCAAACTGGTAGAGAATAAATTGAAAGTTGCCGGAGATGGTCAAGGAAAAAAGGCTGGGGTGTAGGTCTATAGGTCCAGGAGCACAAGATGCCTGGGAAGAAATGTGCAGCCCAGGGCAAAAAGGGCCCAGACCACTGTGGGTAGTGCCACCCCTGGGCAGGTGGGCCTGTGTTGGATAAGAGAGCAGGTTGAGCAGGGGCCAGGGGAGCAAGCCAGTACATAAGGGGCACTGCTTTGTGTTCTCCTGTTGCCTAGGAGCCCATGTTGCAGCTTTGGGTTCAATGATTCTGAGGCATCCTATCATTGCTGAATATTTCCTGGAAAGCCTTGCAAAGGAGCAGTGGGTTGAAGTGGTAGTTCAATCTGACTACTACATGGATACGATTTTTTTAGTATGTATTTTATTTTATGTGTATGAGTGTATTGCCTGCATGTATGTAGGTGCACCTGTGTCGTGCAATGCCCATGGAGATCAGAAGGAGGTATCAGATCCCCTGGAACTGGAATTACACGTGGTTGTTAGCCACCATGTGGATGCTAGAAATCAAACCCGGGTCATCAGGAAGAGCAGCCAGTGTTCTTAACTGCTAACACAACACTCCAGTCCCTGGACATGATTTAAGGTTTCCTGAAAACCATTTGGAACTATTTGAACTCACAGTCCTGATAACCTGCTGGATTTGGATACTCTGTCTAAACCTTGATGGGGCCAATTTTGCTTCTGGTACCTTGCATTCTAGAATGTGGGGCTCGGTCCAGCATCATGGCCAGGGTCACTTCAGCCCTACTCATAGGATGAAATAATTCTGGAAATAGGTTCTCTTAGGATCTGTGTTATAAGAAGATGGAGACACAAGCTGAAGGTGGTGTTTTCCGGATCTTGGTCTATGCTCATGAACAGACAATTCTGCAACAATTACAAGATCCCAGAGCAAGGATTCATAAATTCATCAATAACACTGCAACAGCTTACAGTGGGTACCTCATTCCAAAAATGCAGTATTCTTGGAGGAAAGTGCTTGTGGGTAACCTGGGATCACATCTGATGTAGGAATATGTAATGGTCTGGAAGTAGAATATCTTGGGACTATTAAGCAGGTGGAAGCTATAAGCTGTTGCTTGGTTTCAGAATTTTCTTTATTTCTGAGAGACAAAGTCTAGTTTTCAAGGTGTCTCAAAAACTGATGGGCATTAGTGGGGGAACTTATAACCTTTTGAAGGCAGTAGAGACAGTGAGAGCACTGAAAATGAACTATGTTGAACAATGTTGAGTGCTGCTAGGAACCAATATTCTTACTTCATTATGTACTAAGGGGAGCTGCTATGTGTCAAAGCCCTTGGGTAAAACAGACACTGGCCGATGCTGTGAAAGACTGTCACCTCCCTCCTTCCTCTGCTCCCTCTCAGGCATTCCAAGATGCTTTTAGCCTGTATGTATTACTTGGAATCCACTTGGGACAAATTCCATTCCATAAATTCTGGCAGCATGGTAGGAACAGAACAGATAGTTCAAATTTGTAGATTGCTTGGGGCTGGGGGGGGGGTCAAATGGGAAAATTAGCCAAATAAGTGAGTTACTATAAACCTATTCACAGACTCGGGGGAAGCAATTTATAAACTACTGGCATAAAGTTGAGGGCAGAGGAGAGGAAGGAAATTATCTCAAACTGTTCATCTGCTACACCATGATTTCTCCCCCTAGACTTTGCTATTTTAATAAGCCAATAGTGTCATTTTTCTACTCACATTGGTGCCAAGAGTCATGTTGTTCTACCTCCTGGGAGGCTTTCTCTAATCTTACAGCCCCTGTCTCTCCCTCTTGGATACAGTTTGTGCTGGATAGCTTTAGTGTCAACTTGACACACCTGGGTTGAGGGAGCCTCAATTGGGGAATTGCCTCCATTGGACTGGCCTGTGGCCATGTCTGTGGGGCATTTTCTTGATTGTTGAGTGATGTGTGAGGGCCCAGACCACTGTGGGTAGTGCCACCCCTGGGCAGGTGGGCCTGTGTTGGATAAGAGAGCAGGTTGAGCAGGGGCCAGGGGAGCAAGCCAGTAAGCAGCGTTCCTCTATGGCCTGTGCTCCAGCTCCTGCTTCCGGGTTCCTGCCCTGAGTTCCTACCTTGGGCTCCCTGATGAACTATGACCTGGGAGATGTAAGCTGAGTAAACCCTTTCCTCCCCAAGTTGGTAGTGGTCAGAGTGTTTCGTCACAGCAATGAAGAAACAAACTAGGACACAGTTCAAGAACACCTTCTGCATAAAGCACCCACCTTTAGCAATTTCATTTCAGAACTTCACATTGTTGATGCTTAAACACCTGACACTATTGGCCTCACATTGCGAATGGGAATCAGCACTAGATACCAGACTCCCTTAATTTGGGGGTCTAGAGAGTCACCCGATCTTTCTCCTCAGAAAAATATTCTAGGGCCAGATCCTTCTTTTCAGTGAGGCAACATTCCAAAGAATGGTGGTCCAAAGCAAAGAAAAAAACAAACTTAACTCTCCTGAGGGGGAGATAGGTAAGTACTGGTGGCCAACCCCTGAGTTCTAGGGGACTCACACTGAGCCATTCAGGCCCGCTCACTCCTTAAGGCTCAGCACTACTCAATAAATCAGCATGCCACTGGCTTCTGTTCCATACAGCAGACTCTGACTGTGAAGCAGGCTGTGACTATAGGACTTCTTTAGGGGTCCTCTCAGAAAAGTATGTCTCCCTGGCCACAGAGATCAACTCCTATCCTCCCTTGTCACTGGCAGGGTGAGGATAGCCACAGCAAGCTGAGGTAGAGGCACTGAAGAGATCCACACTTGTTAAACAAAAGAGATCAAGGACAAGTTAGTACCAGAAGTCAACAGCCACAACACTCCAAAGGGGTGGAGAGCAGCAAGGAAGGCCCTGGTTAGTTCAGCAGACTGTAGAAGGGCCCTGACAGGTCAGGGGCAAGGGCAGTAAGACTGAAGCAGATGTGCAGCACCTGGTTGGGTTTAGTACTGCAGGCTCATTTCACCAGCGTGTGAACCAATCTTGAGCAACCCTACTGGGAAGGGTTGCTGAGGAGGACCCCTGCAGCAGTTGGCTGGCAGAGCAGTTGAGTCTGGGATGTAACACAGGCAGGGGCATTTCCCTGCCAGCTTTGCCCTGCGGGTGACTCCATGTTTCAGAACGTATTACCATTTTCCTCACACATGAGCTTGTTTTCCTAGTTTCCTTTGAATGGTCAGATGGAAATTTTAGTCTTAAGTTTAGGCTCATCTTTCAAAATACCTGATATAACATTGGCACTTTCCTCATATTCAGGTTTTCTTTCAGAATGAGTCTAACAGTTTCTTTATCTAAACTTAATTCTTCAGCCATCATTTTTACCATTAACTATATGTTTGAACAAAACAACTCTTTGACCTTCTGGATATCTTCATCTGTCCTGTGGATGACTGGACAACTTCGTGGATCATCTCAAACAACTTCCTGCCCTTCTTTAAACCTTTTGTACCAGTCAAAAGCTCGACCCCTTTACATCACTTCATCCCCATAGGCTTCTTTCAAAAGGTCTCACTGGCAGACTTGTTCAGTTTCACGCAAAATTTGGTACTAATCCTTTGGTCTAAATAGCGGTCACTCATTTTGGCACTAAACCATACAGGAACGTTCACATGCTACAACTGTAAGAAGGTCAAAGGACCAATCCCTTCCTGCAGGCCTAACCATGTGGCTATTCCTGGTGCCCTGGAAGCCTCCAGGGATGAATTACTGCTTTTCTGAGTTTTTTTCTCTTTGCAAATAGCTGAGATGGGGCGGGAGGAGGTGGCAATCTTGTGCTCACCGGGTCAAACAGTGGATGCAAAGCTGGGGAAAATTAAGTCCCCTACAGCCCATGTCTCCGTCCAACCCATGCAGGGGGTTTGCAAGCAGTCACCAAGGTCGACCTGATTCGGAGGCCCTTAAGAGTCTATGACCACTCCTGCAATTGATGCGTAAGTAGCGCCAAGTGAAGCAAGGAGAGAAGATGCAGCCTTGACGTAACGTTAAAGCTCGCTCCGGCCCTGCAGACACCCACGTACACCAAATCTACCGGAGCAGCCCGGGGTCGCCTGCTCTGGAGTCCTGGAAGGCTACGCCGCATGCGCAGTTTCTTCCCCCGTGAGTTGGACTGTGCGCAGGCGCATTGCGCCAGGGCCCCGCCTCCTCCACGCCACACCCCGGTCAGGCGCGCTTCCGAGTGCGTGCCTGCCCGCCCGCCCGCGGGAGAGGTCGGCGGCGCGAAGGGCGGGGGAGGAAGGCTGAGGGAAGAGGGCACCCCCGGGTGCCGGGGTGCATTGTGGGAAGGAGGCGGCAGCGTCCCGGGCGGGCGGGAGGTGCAGCAGCGGCGGCGACGGCGGTAAATCCTCCCGGCCGCTCACAGCACTGTGGAGCCGCGTCCCCAGCCCGGCCGCGGCCCGCGCGCCCCTCCTGCCCCTCGCGGCTTCGCGCGCGCCGGCCCCTCCTCCGCGCGCGGCCTTGCCTATCCGGCCGGCCAGCCTGGCTCCCCTCCCCGGCCCCGCGGGGCGGCCGGGCTGCCCTGACGAGGCGGGGAGGGGAGGGCTGGACCGGCCGGCGGCCGGACGACCATGCCGAACTTCTGCGCGGCTCCCAACTGCACGCGGAAGAGCACGCAGTCCGATCTGGCCTTCTTCAGGTTCCCGCGGGACCCGGCCAGGTGAGCGCGGCGCGGGGCTGGACTGCAGGCCCGGGGCGGTGGGCGGCCGGCCGGCGTCTCAAAGCACGTGCGCCCGCGGGGACCTGGCCCCCAGGGTGCCACCGGAGATGCAGGGACCGGGGCGGTGCGGAGGCGGAGGAGGCGGGCTCTTTGCTCTTCCCTCGCGCGTCTCGGTCCTTTAGCTGTCAAAGAAGGATTTGGACTCTGGCTTGTGGTCCCTTGGGCTCTGCCTTGTCACCCCGCTCTCCCAGGACAGTGTTTCTGCCTGGAGCCGGCCCATGTTCCTTGATCTTAAATCGGGTCACAACAGCTGCGGCCTTCGGACTTGTCATTGCACAATATTCAGATGCAGACGGGGACCGTTACTCATCTCCCTTGGTTATTGTGGGGAATCTCAGGGCATGGACGCGAGGGCGTGGAAATTGGTATTGAAACCTCTTCCTTGAGGTAACCCACATAACTCGTACTTTGAGAGTGATAGGACGGGGACTTCGTGGGAAAGCTGCGATATTTCACAGGCCTTCTTGTGGGGTCATTTTAAAAATCATTTGGAGTAACAACGTCAGGTGAATGCCGTAGCTCCTTGCGGAAAGCTCGTAATTCATGGTGGCGGGGCAGATCTATCAGCAGACGATTATGATATAGCATGCTGTTTATTAATTCAAAAAATATTCATTAAAGGCTTACAATTGTAAGACATTGGTCTAAGCACTAGGAGATGTGTAACAGATGAACCAATGAAAAGTCCCAACTCTCAGAGGTTACAACATTCAGGTGTCCGGGTAGACAAGTACAGTATATACAGTAATGTATCCAGTAGTGATAAATGCCATGGAGAAAAATACAGCAGAGGTTGGAGGGGTTTAAGAGTAGCCAGGGAGCTGGGCATGATGCATGACCTGTAATCTCAGTGCTGGGGAGGCTGAAGCAGAGAGTTTGAAGCCACCCTGGACTACATCGTAAACTCTAGGCCAGCTAGAGTTACTGTGTGAGATCTTGTTTTACCCCCCCCCCCCCAAATAGTAACAGACAATTGTTTTTTAAACGACATTGAGTAGAGAAAGCCTTACCACAGTGAATTTGAGTGAACAGTGAATTTGAAGTAGGGGCCAGCCGGGCCATATCTTGGGCAAAAGCATAGTGGATAACAGTAATGGTGACGACAGGATATGCTTGTTGATGAGTCTAGAAAGGATGTAAATGAGAGATAAATTGTATAGGAAAATGCAGTTGGGGAAAACACAATGGCATTTATTTTGTGTGAAATAGAAGGGTTGAGAGCTGAGAGACTTGTGCTTAACAGGATCACTGGCTACTTGTTAAATTGTAGGAAAACAAAGGTGAAAACAGGAAGACCAATGAAAGGGTTTTGCAGTCATCCAGATCAGTGGAGGAAGAGGTAGATTCATGCATTTTTAATAAGTTTTGAAGATGAAGCCAACAGGATTTGCTAGTGGTTTGAACATGGATTATAAAAGAAAAAGGAATCAAGGGTGACTCCTGAGATAATGTGTGTGTGTATGGTATATGGCTGTGTGGTGTATGTGCATGTGTATGTATGTGCACATGCAGAGGCCAGAAGAGAACATCAAGTGTCCTCTTACTCTCCACTTTATCCTTCCTTCCTTCCTTCCTTCCTTCCTTCCTTCCTTCCTTCCTTCCTTCCTTCCTTCCTTCCTTCCTCTACTGTGCTTAAGTGTTTTGTCTGCATGTATGTATGTGTACCATATGTATGCATTGCCCACAGAGGACAGATGAGAGTGTTGAATACCCTGGAACTGGAGTTATGGATGGTTGTTAGCCTCCATGTGGGTGCTGGGAATTGAATCCAGATCCTCTACAAGAGCAGCCAGTGCTCTTAACTTTTGAACCATTTCTCCAGCTTCTGTAGCCCCAGCTGACCTGGAGCTCACTATGTAGACCAGGCTGGCCTCTTATCTCACAGAAATCCGTCTGCCTCTGCCTCCCAAGTACTGAGATTAAAGGTGTGTCCACCCCCCCCCCATGCCCAACACACCTTATTCTTTTGAGACAGGGTCTCACTGAACCTGTAGTTAGGTTGGGGGCCAGCAAGCCTCAGCAGTCTTGTCTCCATCCCCCACAGTGCTGGGCTTACAGCTTTTTAAGTGTAGGTTCAGAGGTCTGAATTCAGGTTCTTGTGCCTGCATGTTAAGTGCTCTTACCAACTGAGTCGTCTCGCCTAGACTTGAGTTTTTTTTTTTTAACACGAATATTTATTGGCATAAGAAAGACTGGGAAATACAGGTTTGCTGGAGGAATTAAGTTTGATTTGGAACATGTGACTATGAGAGGCTTGATGGATATTCAAGAGATGTCTTCAGCTAGAGGATGTAGTTTAGTGCTAAAACACTTGATTAACATGCATCAGATTCTAGGTTCAGTCCCCTTCACTGGCCAAAAAAAAAAAAAAAAAAAAAAGGTAGATGTCTTTATACCACATGCAGAAATGAGCTCCCAAATGACTGCTTCCTCTTTCCCCACATTCTCACCAGCACTTGTTTTTGATGTTAAATTCTGACTGGAGTGAGATAGAATCCCAAAGTACTTTTAATTTGTATTTCTCAGCTAAAGTTATTGAACACTTTAAAAAATATCAGGGGACTAGGAATATAGCTCAGTTAGTAAAGTACTGTGTGGCAATATGAGAACCTGAGTTCAACTCACAAAACCTATGTAAAAATGCTAGACCTGATGTTGGGCACTTGTAATCTCAAGGCTGAGAAGTCTGAGACTGGAGGGATCCATGGGGCTGTCTGACCAGCGAGTCTAGCCTAATTAGTGAACTCCAGGGGATAAGAGACCTGTCTCAAAGGAGGTGGACAGTGTTTCTGAGAATGACACCTGAAGGTTGTCCTCTGGCTTCTACACCTATGTGCACACACATGCATATGTGCATGCCAACACAAGCATAAAAAATGTACTGACCATTTGTATTTCTTGTTTTGAGAACTGTTCTATTTTCTTGACTTGGGAGGTTTTTTTGTTGTTAATTTTTGCAGTTCTTTATTTGGCTATAACCATACCCTCCCACCTTTGTCTGAGGTAGAGCTGGCAAAGATTTTCTCCCTGTTTTATAGGCTCTCTTCCTTGGTTAATTGCTTTCTTTGGGGTTATTTCCTGTGCTATTGAAGTCATTTTCAGAAAGTTCTTGCTTTCTGAAGTATTTCCTCTAATCTTGAAGTATTCTCTTAGTAGTTTCTAAGGGTTTTTGTTGTTGTTTTTGGTCTTTTTGGGACAGGGTCTCCCTGAAGCCCCTGCTGGTCTGGAGCTCACTATGTAGACCAGGTTGGCCTTGAATTCACAGAGATCTGCCTGCCTCTGCCTCCCTACTTCTGGGACTACAGGTGTGCGCCACTATGCGCGGCTATATTTCAGGTTTTTTATTAAGGCCTTTAGTTTATTTTGAATTATTTTTGTGCAGAGTGAGAGATACAGATCTAGTTGCATTCTTTTGTATGTGTATATCCAGTTGCCCAGGTCCATTTGTTGAAGAAACAGTCTTTTTTTTTCCAGTGTACGTTTTTGACACCTTTGTCAAAACTTAGGTGGCTGTAGCTCTATGGGCTTGTTCTGGGTCCTCTCTTCTGCTCCATTACTCTGCACAGTTTTGTGTAGTACTGTGTTGTGTTTGTCACTGTGGCTCTGTTATGATTTGTGGGCAGTTACGATATATCTAATGTTCTTTCTGCTTAGAATTACTTTGGTTGTTCTGGGTCTTTTGTGTTTCCATATGAATTTTAGATTTTTTTGGCCTAGTTTTTGAAGAATGTCATTGGAATTTTGATGGACTCTCTAGGCCACTTATGGTAATACAGCAATTTTACAGTATTAATTCTGTAAACCCATGAGCATTGTTTCCATTGTTTAGTTTCTTTAATTTCTTTTCCCAGTGTCGTAAAGTTTTCATTGTATAGGTCTTTGGCCTTTTTGGTTTATTTCTAGATATTTAATTTTCTTGACGCTATTATGAATGGAATATTTTTCCTAATTTGTTTCTCAGAAAAAGTTAATGTTTTTGTATGTTGATTTTATATTCTGCAGTTTTGCTAAAAGAACCGATCAGATCTAAGTTTTCTAGTAGAGTCATGGTCATGCTTAGAGGGATAATTTGACTTATTTATTTTTCTTTTCTTATGGCTCTAAAACTCTGAGCACAATATAGAGAGAGTGGAGAGAATGGGGACTTTTGTCTCATTCCAAGTTTTATAGGATGCTCTCAGTGTTTCCCCATTCAGTGTAGTGTTGCCTGTGGGATTGTTTTATGTAGCCTTCATTATGTGGAGGTATATTTCCTCTACTCCCATTGTCTTCAGGACTTTTATCGTAAAGTCATGTTGAACTTGTCAGATGCCTTTTATGCAACTATTGAGATGATGATATGATTTCTGTCCTTAAGTCTGTTTATAAATATGGTATTGATATATTTTTAATTAACTTTGCATACCTGGTCTGTGGCCTCTGTTTTATTTATTTATTATTTATTTTATTTATTTATATGTTATGAGTGTATTGCCTGCATGTCTATAAGTGCTCCTGTGTCATATAATGCCCTGGAGGTCAGAAGAGGGCATCAGATTCCCTAGAACTGGCATATGAATGGTTGTTAGCCACCATGTGTGTGCTGAAAACAGAACCTCGGTCCTTGAGAGAACAGCCAGTGCTTCTAACCACTGAATCATCTGTTTAACTCAGTCTATGGCACTTTTAAAGAGAGTTTTGTCTACTTTAAAGATACTTATTTTTTTTTATTAATTGGAGACCAACAGGATCTCATTCTGGAGCCCAGGCTAGCTTAGAATTCACTATGTAATCCATCTGCAATTCTCCTGCCTCCTAAGTGCTAGGAATACATGTGTAAACTACCATGATGAGCTTGCTTTGTTTTTAATATTTAGATCTGAAGTCATTTGGAATTTATTTTTGTGTGTGCTGTGAAATTATTAGTTACATTTGATTTTTTTCATATTTATAGTCTACTTAGCACTGTTGGTTGAAAAAAATCCATCTTCACTGCTGTCCAAAGCTTTTTTTTAAAAAAAAATTATTTTATTTTATGTGTATACATGTATTGTCTGCATGTAAGTAAGCGCACCCATGTTATGTAACACCCGCGGAGGACAGAAGAGGCTGTAATAAAAATAAACATAAAATAAATTACAGTGTAATAATGAACTGAATTACTAGTTTCAATTTTTTTAATTTCTCTTTTAATGTGTATACATGTATTGCCTACATGTAGGTAAGTGCACCCGTGTTGTACAATGCCCACAGAGGTCAGAAGAGGCTGTCAGACCCCTTGGGACTGGAGTTACAGACAGTTAGCTGCCATGTGGGTGCTGGGATACGAACCCAGGTCTTCGGCAAGAACAGCCAGTGTTCTTAACGGCTGAGCCATCTTTCCAACCTGCAAAGCTACTTTTAAGTGCCTATAGCTTTCTATTTTGAAGTTCCCTTGTTCTCTCTTGTGCAGTACCATTCTGTCTTAATATCTGGTAGGTGGTGTTTCTTTAAACCTTCTCCCCAACCCCTCAAGATTGCCTAGGGTATTCTTTGGTTTTTTGAGTTCTGTATAAAAAGTTTCAGAATAATCTTGTCCTCTCTCAACACACACGTACACAACAACTTCTGGGATTGGAGTTGAATTGAATCAGTAAATAGATTTTGGGGGAAATGATTTGTTTTAGAATTCAGTGTCTCAGCTTTACCAAACCAAACAAAAACAAAATAAAGAACCAAGTGTAGTGGCCCTTTTAATTCCATTTAATTCCAGCTACCTGGGAGGCAGGGAGACCCTGTCTGAAAAAAAACTCTGAAATAGGGCTGGAGAGATGGCTTAGTGATCAAGAGCACTGACTGTTTTTTTCAGAGGACCCAGGTTCAGTTCCCAGCACCTATATGGTGGCTACCAACTGTCCATAACTAGTTTCAGGGGATCCTATGCCCTCTTCTGGCCTCCACAGGCTTTGCCTGACACAGGGGCACTTACATACGTGCAGGCAGTACACTCATACACATACAATAAAAATAACTAATAAAATATTTTTTAAAACCCAAAATAAATAAATTAAATTAAATAAGGGGCTGTAGAGATGGCTCAGGGGTTAAGAGCACTGGCTGCTCTTGCAGAGGACCCAGGTTTGGTTCCCAGCACCCACATGGTGGCTAGCAATGACCTGTAACTCCAGTTCCAGGGGCTCTAACACGATTTTCTGGCCTCTGGGTATTACGCGCATATGGTGCACTTGTGGCACATTTAGATACATGCAGGCGAAGCACTCTTACACATAAAATTAACTAAATTAAAATAAATAAAATAAAAATAAAACATGTTGTATGTCTTTCACTACATTTATTCCTAAGTATTTGATATGGAAATACATAAGGCTAATTAATTGGGCCTTCTGTCTCAGACTTACTCTGTTCTTGAGTTTTGTGGTCTGAATTATAGCCATATCAAAAAAGTTGTTTTACCTTAAATCAGAGATAAATGGACAGTAGTGCTTAGAACTTGTACCTTTTTGCAGTGAAGTTTATCTCGTTTAGTGTCTTAGGTACTTTCTTTGTATTCAAGTGTGCAGATACAATTTCTGTGTTCCTGGGACTTGCAGTCTCATTTGTACACATACCATTATGCATACTAAATCCTGTTTATACTACACCCGGACATGGAGAGACTACGACTTCACAGCAGGGGTCCCCAACATGTTTATACTATGACAGATGAATACAATATTTCTTTTGTGCTTACAAAAGAAACTAATTATTCATAGAACATGAACCTGCAGTTGGAATTGGAAGGCCCAGGTTTACATTATAGTTTTGTTAATGACTTTAGACTTGACTGAGCAAGTTACTTCTTAACCTTGTCTGCAGTTGAGTTTATACAAAATGATTTTTAAGATTTCTTCCAACTCTCATTTTGTTATTAATCAACTTGTCTAAATTGTGTTCTGGAGGAATACAGCAGAAATCCATTTTTTTTACTATGTAGCTGTAGCTGGCCTGGAACTTGCTATGTAGACCAAGCTGGTCTTGAATTCACAGAGATTTGCCTGCCTCTGCCTCCTGAGTGCTGGAATTAAATGTGCCACCATGCTTGGCCCCAGAAATCCATTCTTAATATTTACCTTAAAACCAGATTATTTTTTGAGACAGGGTCTTCCTACATAGCCCAGGCTAGTCTCAAACTCACAGTCCTCCTGCCTCAGCCTCCCAAGTGCTGAGATTATAGGTGTGTGCCACCATGCCCAGTCCAAACACTTAAAAATTTAAATTTTGAGGGACTGGAGAGATGGCTCAGTGGTTAAGAACACTGGTGGTTCTTGCAGAACACCCAGGTTCAAATCCCAGCACCCACATGGCAGCTAACAACAGTCTGTAACTCCAGTCCCAGGGGATCTGACAGCCTCTTCTGACCTCTGCGGGCATTGCACAACTAGGGTGCACTTACCTACATGCAGGCAATACACATGTACACATAAAATAAAAATAATAAATAAAAAAAATTTAAATTTTGAGTTTATGTTCCATAATTATATTTTGGTTTTATTTATAGATGCCAGAAGTGGGTTGAGAATTGTAGGAGAGCAGACTTAGAAGATAAAACACCTGATCAACTAAATAAACATTATCGACTGTGTGCCAAACACTTTGAGACCTCTATGATCTGTAGAACTGTAAGTAATAGACTGGCTTGGTTTCTCATTCTCACTTACTTTGTCTGGTTGGATATGTAAATTTTTTTTTCTATTAATTGGAATGTGTATACTTTAAATTGAAGATCAGTTTGGAACTTAGTAATATTTGTTCTTAAAAGCCTGACTTTTTAAAACCCCCCTGTTCCTGATACCCATTCCCACTCACCCCAGTTAGCAACTTTTAAACTTACTAAAAAATAGTTTATGATAATGTGGGTTTTTTTATTTGAAGCAATTGAGTTTGTTTTTTAATGTGTTATGCCTGCATGTGTATTAAGTGTACCCATGTCATGCAGTGCCTGTGGAGGACAGAAGAGGGCATCGAATCCCCTGGAACTGGAGTTAACAGATAGTTATTAGCCACCATGTGGGTGCTGGGATTCGAACCCAGGTAGTTGGCAAGAATAGCCAGGACTCTTAACCACTGAGCCATCTCCCTCGCCCCTGTCTAGTTCTGGGACTGGAACCTGGAGCCTTGTGTATACTAGGCAAGTGCTCTACTACTGAGCCACATCTCCAACCCCTGTCTAGAACTCTCTTAGGAGTAATAGTTTCATCTAGGAATGCTGCTCTTTGTGTTCATGATTTGAATGCCCCATTAAGAATCAACACTTAATTTTTATGGGCTAGATAGAACAAGAAACAATATCATACAGGTAATGTGAAAACATTTTTTCATATCTAGACCTTCCCCTTTCTGGGCCCTAGTTTATAATGAAATTAGATCAAATAATTTAAGATGTAAAAATTTTTAGGATCTTGTTATTGCTGTGATTCATAAAAGGCAAAAATAGGGCAGATTTGATTGAAATGAGGTGTGGAGCACTTTAATAACTAGTAAGGATTTGGTAAATCTACAGTTTTTCTGTTTAGGTACAATTAATGTTTCATATCAGATTTTTGGATAGACATAAATTTGACTTTGAAGGTACACTATATGTTGTTATGCAGCAATTTATTTTGGTATTTTTTTCAGATACATTTTGCAGAGGCATCAGAAAACTAAAGAATGATTGGGTTATTTTATTTCTCAAAATTAATTGAAGCAGATACTTGTGAAGTCATTGGGAGGTGAGCCAATTCCGGTTCAGCAATTTAATCATGAATATTTGAGGAATATTTTTGGCCTTGCTTTGTTAAGAGCGTAATAATAATCAGCCAAAAGAAGAGGTTTCATAAGTCTAAAAGTCAGACTACTTTTATGTTCTTGACATTAAGTAAAAATATCCCAGATTATTTTTAAAATCACAAGCCATATACATTTTTGCATTTTTTACTTTAGTAGTAAGGGTTACCTCTTAACTGAATAATTTCAAATAGATTAATATGAGAAATTTAAAATATACTTCACTGTTGTAGCTGTCTTTAGTCAGAGCATAGAGTAGAAAGATGAGTTAGGTTTTAGATTTTGCTTTTTTTTGTTGTTGTTGAGACAGGGTCTCCCTGTAATCCCAGCTGGCCTGGAATACACTGACCTGAAACACACCTGTAGTCCCAGGCTGCTGTTGAAAGCTGGATTACATGCCAACTATATTGAAATATTTAAGCTTTGGCTTTATTAGTTTGACATTTACAGTCTTATATGTAAACATTCATGAGTAGTTCTGCCAAGGCCACACATTTTACTGTCTTTGGTGCTAGAATAAGATCAGTATAGCTACTTTAAATTAGCAAAGATTAAATCTTGATATTGTTCATATAATAGGATATAATCTTTTTGACATATGTACTTATAAATGAACTTAAAATGTCAGCCTGGTCTACATAGTGAGTTCCAGGACAGCTGGGGCTACAGGGAGACCCTGTCTCAAAAAGACCAAAAAAAAGTCACATCTTTTTCATTCACATTGTATTTTCTGATTTTTGCTTTATTTGCAAATTAGAAGTTGTATATAAATTTTAAAAATTCACTAGACTGCTTTAGCCCCTCCCTTCAATCACTAAGATATCACACATC